CGTTTTCAATGGCATGGATATATTCATTATATCAAGAGTGTACTTGGTGACATATAGTGAGATATATAGTGTCTTAAAAAGTACATCGAGGGAATGTGTTTTAATTGTGGTCTTTGGAGTCACTGCTAAAATCACATTTTTTGTATATTATTTAACAATTTACAATAAAAAAACAAATTCACATAAAAAACCCAAAAACTTCACATACTCTTCACTGTTGACTATACATGTAACACTAAAAAGAATAATTATAGACAGATTTTTACACAAAATATTGCTAATGCCTTATGGGCTAAAATATGCATACGTGTATACTTGTGCTGCTCACATTGAAGTTCTAATTATCAGAAAAAATATCATGTAAAATTACAGAAAGTTAATTTTGATTCACAGTTTGTCGTCGTGGCAATGCGGAGAATCCATCATCCATTGTCCATTCATTTTCGTCATTCCTCAGCTCCTGAGAGCGGGGTTATTTGTAGTTATGTTGGTGATCGCCACTGTGTCTGTGGAAGTACTATGGGAGATTGCATGATGGGAGTGAAAAGTTATTTGATCAGTAAAATAATTTTAGAAAACTGAATGAAAACTTGAGTGACTGTGAAATAAAGGTTGGTTTTAAATATAAAATATCATGGATGTAATAATGAAAGGAAATTGAAGTGGTATGAAAGGGCAGTAAATGTAGCCAGAATGCAAGGTCAGAATCCGAGGGCCAAAATACTTCACAATACATCCATCAAGGCGGTTACAAAGTGTCAAAAAACTATGGATGCGATAAAAGACTTGATTTGCAGTTTGCGTGAATGGACGGGGAGAAAGATTTTTGCAAATTCTGTGCTTCAGTAACAGTATTTGCTGCTTTTTTGTGCAACAGAAACTAATACAAGAAATGCTGCTAAAAGACATGTCATTCTATTAAACAAAACAACCTTGGGACGTTTATCTTGAGAAATTGAGAAGACGAAAATCCCTTGGGACAGTCGTTGTGAAACAATAGACATGCTTCCCCAGGGTATCAAGGTTATTTTGATTATTTGAAGATGGAAACTGCTACTTTATGGAAGAGCAAAGTTCAATGTCATTGGCCACAGTAATGACGTTTTTAGAAGGGTGACTCGCTAGAAGTATTCACCGTAACTCTGGACTTTTCATTCAGGTTTTTATAAGACTTGCATGTTACTGTCGGGAAAGTTTAATGTCTTTGTTTGTATTGCGATGTTCTCATGGAATTTATAAATCTTGGTATCATTCCCAACTGTCACCAAACTGTACGTTTTGATGACTTCTATGCAATTGTAAGTGTATATATCGGGTATACTCAAAGTGAATCTCAGCACTGTGCCTTTTATAAATGGTATTGTTATAAGCAAGTTTCAGAAGTATTGGGGCAGCCAATTTGCAAACTTGCTGGCGTATTGGCTAACTGCTTATGTTTTGACTAAACAGTAGTCTTTCGAATCTCGCTGGCGCTGACTTTTGGCCGCGTCTACTCTGGGCGAGTACATATTGCTTTAGGTGACATTGGCCTAGTACGTGTTTGGATTCATCTGAACGATTTGCTTTGTTATGCGAGGCGTGATAATGTAAAAGTAGTTCGAGTAATTTATAATTTATATTGGGGTAGCCATCTTGAAAATGGCTTGAAACCAAATAAAGAGACAAGTTACCTACAAATCAGGGAGTAAATTAAATTTTCACATCCAAATGATCTGTTGGAGCAGCATTGAGTCAAAACCCAAAAAGTTTGCCAATTCGCTAGCGAGTTGTCAAATTGGCTGCCCCAATATTTCTGGGACTTGTAACAATTTCCTGGAAACTGTACAGCAAATCACATATTTTCATTATTAATTCATAATTTTTCTAAATTTCAGTATTTATTGTTCATAATTATTTACAGTAATAAAACATTTTTTCGTTCTGAAACCATTTCCAATTATTATGATTTTGTGCATGACAGCTTTGTCTCACACACAATAAGTCAGGATGATATGTACGAATATGTGTGAGTATGTTTCATGATTATGCCACTCCCTTGCTTCAATACCAAATATAACTCTGGAATATCACTTGCTGTTTATCATCCATATTTCGATATCCCACAATGTGTTGATTGCGTGTCTGGTAATTCTAACTAACTACTATTTTGCAAAACTTTACCAGCCTTGCTTCTACCAGTCAATTAAGTCAACCCCCATATTGTCCTTCACAGTGAAGGTTAATGCAGATATATTGTAAATTACACAGAGGTAACACTACAATACATTTCCCTTTACATTCCCTTGTATTACATAACAGTCTTTGAGCTGAGGCAGTTATGGTTCTACAACCATCACCAGTTCTCTTGTATTAATATGTATTTATATTCATGTTTGAAATTGGGTCTGAGTTTGAAACATGTTTCAGATATTTTTACAACACAGAATGTTCTAAATATGTCCTAACCTAACTGTCTTTTTGTAACAAATCTACATTCATGTCATTGTCATTCATTTGAAATTATGCTAGTTTCAAACATATTTGTATGACTCAGTAACGAGACATATGTTTCAGACTAAGTTTCAAACATGAAACCTGCATGCCCATTTACCATAATTAATTTATTGGATTATTTCAAAATTAAGGGCCTATGCCTGATTTTAGTGCATATTTATGTGACGTTATACCAAACATCCATTGATTGGTTGTTTTAATTGTTAGCTCAATTTTCTCTATGAAAAGTTTTTGCTTGTCTGAGGCACGACCATGCAATTGAGTATGCATTGGTATTCCAAGTAACAGTCTGAAATTCACAGATTGTCAACAAATCTAGTACATTCTTGCATGTAGTGTGAATTTATGTATGAATAAAGCATGGAAGTCTGAAAAGCAACATTCCCAATAAAATCATTAATTTTACTTTTTGGGCATCCATTAATATTATTTTACTCACCAGTGTGGTATATTAATTGCAGATTATGTAGATAAGGTAATCCAAACTACTGGGTACTTTAAACTGTGGACCACATTTATTATTTAAGATTATATGAAACTACCGGTAAATTGGATCTGAAATATATTCGGTTTCAGGTGATTAGACTTGATCAATAAATTATAATGGTTCAAATTCATCTAATTTTTTGGGTTGAATAGAATCCAGGTCAGAATTATATTGTTCACTAAGTGGTTCAATGTTATGGTTCATATATGTCATGTGGGAAAGTACCTTGCTAATGACCACTCAAATTGTTTATCAAAATCCACTTGGCCTTATAATTGGATTTAGAATTAGTAATATTTAACAAACATTAGTGAAATAATTGTTCCATGTATTGCAAATACACCTATCAGCTCGGAAATCAGGATTCTTGTTGTTGTTTTTTTAAATTAATAACACTGTATGTGCTTCAACTCTTTTTTTAATGTGTACAGCGCACATGAAGAATTGGTTAATTATTTCCTCCAATTAATGGCAGATTCTTCAATGCCATTATTTGCAAACCATATTTTCTGTTTTAGAAATTTCTCTCAACTATAAAAGTGAACATGAACCAAAAAATGTATTTATTATATAGATGACCCCAATTTTGTTCAAATGTTGATTTTTTGGTATTTTTTGGGACAAAAATGATTGCCAGTCAATCAAAGTAATGACCTGTCTTTGTACCAATTTTCAATATCCAAGATATGATGCATAGAGGAAACCCAAAACATAAGCCCTGATCAAGACTCGTCCGGCAGGTCAATTTTTTGTTTATAAAAAAAAATCATTTTGAAAATGTTATTCTCTA